TTGAGGTTATATAAATATTAATTAGGCCATTATTCACCAACATACTAGACTGACACACCTCCACCTTATAACAAAAGATTTTATCCCCAGATGTCAAAAGTGTGACCAGTCATTAACCATAAAAAAACATGTTTTGGAAGAATGCCGTTTTTACACCGCAAGGTTAAAAGATCTTGGAATACCCCAGAATATTTCAGCATCTCTGGGAAATCAAGAAGAAATGGTTACCAAAGTTATCAAGTTCCTAGATAATGAAAGACTTAAACAACATATATGACAAGTTTATAAATTATGACCCTTTCCAGATTTATTATTATTTTTTATTTTTTTTTATCTATTTACTTCATTTCATTTTATTTTTTTATTTTAAAAGTTCATTTGGTTATTAATTTCAGCTCATTTATTGATTTTATTTCTATTTTTTTAATGTTTATTTATTTATCTATTCTTATCTTATTATCTATAAGTGGCTATTATTATTTTCATTTAATTATTTCATTCTATCAATTCTTTTATTTAATTATGTTATTTGGTTATTTATTTATTAGTTATAGTTAGTTATTTATTTATTCATTTATTTAGTTATTTATTTAATTATGTTATTTTTATTTATTTATTTAATTCTATCAATCCTTTTATTTAATTATTTTCATCCTTTTTTTATTATTATTTTTTGGACTAACCATCCAAATAGTATAAAAGTAGTGTTATTTAGTTGATCGGGCGCTGATGGCCCGGACTTTTGCGTCTAGACATCGAAACAAACAAACAAAACCAACATTCTATTTAATTATTATTTTATTTCGACAGCGTTTCGACCATCACTAGGGCCATTTTCAAGTCTGGAAAAATTTTAATGACATTGTTAGATTACATTTACATTTACAAAAAATTTATTTTATATAATTATCCAATCTAACGATCCATGTCATAAAATTTCACTATACATAGATTTGTATACTTTTTTAAAAGCCTCTCACCAGCATGGTGATATTATTCACTCCCGTCAGAAATGACGTAGGGAAAACTCTAAAATATCAGGACAATTTTAATTTTTTCAATAAATTTAATATGATAGTTGTGAATAATAGAAATTTAATAGAGTAGTCAATAAGGTAACAATCAATTGTATGTAATGAATAAAGTTGTGTACATGAGATGTTTTTAAAAAATAATACAAATCTATGTATGTATAGTGGAATTGTATGACATGGATCGTTAGATTTCCGAGGCAAGTTTATTTGCTCTGAATCGGTTTTACTCCACTACGGGTGATTGGCCCAGTAATAGACGCCCCGTTACCTCGAGACTACTGGAGACAATTTATACCCACGTCCACAGAGTTCTCTCAGGATAGGTGACCACAGGGTGTGTAGTGAATGTGACCTTATGTCAGTGTATGTGTATTGTGTACTGTTTTGTGTGAGTTTACTGAACTCGGGAGCGTCAATCTCCACTAGCCTTGCTCATCAGCTAGTCCCTGCGGGGACTGCCAATGCAGATTGGACGAGATCAGGAGGTTGTTGAAATTTATTGCAAAGGAGAGATACTGGGCATGGTGGAGGATTACACATATCTAGGTGCAGTAATAAACAAGAACGGAAGAGTCGACCATGAAATTTCCAACAGGATTAAAAAGGCCAATGATTTGTGTTACAGTTTGTTGTTAATACAGTCGTTGGGAAAAGGGAGGTAGAGAGGAATGTAAAGATGCATATTTTTAAAGCGGTATATCTACCGACCCTTATATAAATGAGTGAAAGCTAGATCCCATTAACCAAACACCTTAGCAGAGTTACTGCTAGTGAAATGAAATATCTTCGAAGGGTAGCCGGCAGAACCAGGAGAGACCGGATCAGAAATGAAAAAACAAGAGACGGCCTTGGCACTGTCTCACTAAGAATAAAAAAGAGACAGGTGAGATGGTTTGGGCATGTATGCCGAATGAATGAAGACCCAGATTGTCGTGGATGGAATACATCTCCCAGATCGGGCAGAAAAGAGGTATGAGGATAGGGGATATGAGGGCTCTAGGTCAGGGACAAAATGCTTGGGATGCATGGATCGAGGCACCTCCACGCTGAAATGCACAAAGAAGATAGAGAAAGAAGAAGAAAGATCGTTAGATTAGATAATTATGTAAAATAATTTTTTTGTAAATGTAATCTTACAATGACATTAAAAATTCTCCAGACTTGAAAATGGCTATAGTGATGGTCGAAATAAAATAATTAATAAATAAAATTTTGATGAATAATGATCTAATTTATATTTAAAAAATTAAAATAAATCGTTATCACATATCATTCAAATTTATTCAAAATTGGTATTTTGTCTCCGATTTTAGCGTTTCGTTCCACTGTGCGACGTCGCGATAAGATACAATTTTGAATAATAGCTCATTACAAAGAGGATGAAATGATGAACATTTTTCCTTGCTAACATTGTATAGGTCCGATTTTTAGTTTCTGAGATATTTTAATCTCTGTGCAAAAACTCTTCACAATTAATCGTCTCCTAACTCAAAAGACTACAGGCGACGTCACACGAGCGTTGCACACCGGAGATCTGACGTCTCAATCTAATCCACTCTAAAAAAAAGTGCGAAACGCGCTTAAAAAACCTTTCACTTCAAAAATATAATTTTATTTAATTAAAAATATAACTCGTCTAGTTGGTCCCTGCTACATAGCAAAACAATATGGAAATAAGTAGTTCCTATGTATTATGTAAGGAAGGAATTGATATATTTTTCTTGGTCGATTACAAGATTCCATTAAACATAATAGGAGATATTTTTAAACGCTGACTGTAATATAGACAAAACAATGCCCCCATCATGAGATATTCTAAATTATAAACATAAAAAAATGTAAGAACAACCAAATGTCTTTAAGAAATAATAAAGTTAATATATTAGCCTGAAAAAAAAATGTAGTAGACTATTCTATTCCTAAATGCAATCTTTAAATCGGAAGACATTATTAAGTATATCAAAACTAATGGACTGTATCTTTGTTAATAATTCTGCGATTTTTACGACTTTTTTCTGTTTTGTAGGTAATTTAGTAATCTTTCTAATTATTATCGGTGCAATCCAGAAAAAAAATGCACACTTTTTGAGTTATTCGCATATAAAGTTTGTTTTCCTTCATAACTTTTTTCCCTGAAATTTCGGGAGGATAAGGCTATTTTTCGCATGTGAAGGAGAAGAATATCGTCAAAATGAGTGGTCAATCATTGGATTTGATGAAGAATTGACAAAGTTATGGCGTACCGACAAAAAAACACCTATTAGAAATAATATATAGGATTACAGCAATATCTCTATCCATTCTAATGTATTTATACACCTGGATATGTTGTAAGGGAAAAGTCTATGTATTCTAAAACTTGGTGTAGTAGACGAGTGCCTTTCATAACACATTACAGCTATAGGCAAATAAATTTCGCCCCATACATCGGTGCATGACGACTTCCAAAAGAGTCTTGAGTTTCGTTATAGGGTGGAAATCAGCCAACCAATATATCGAGTTTAAATATTCGTTGATGAAAATTTTCTTAACAATCAACCAGAGTGTTATTCAAGTAGGCATGTATGTAAGTATCCTGATATTTATTTCTGTAATCAGTTATTTTATTTATTTATTTTTTAATAGCAATTCGAAATTGTTAATCTTAGTTTTGAATTTTAAAATTTTGAAATGGCTAAAGCGTGCAATTTGTTTTGTTTGATTAATTACTGCAATTTAATTTACCTGCTGTAATATTTTATAAATTTAAATTAATATAGCATACCAGACTGAAACGACAAGAAACCGTTCGACGTATGCGATTACCTCAGCACTTACTAGACAAACGCTCTAAACTTCCAATTAATTATAAAAGACTCATATACATGACTATAATAAGGCCTATTTGGACTTACGGAGTTGAGCTATGGGGCTCCACTAACCATCGAATTCCTCTCGTATCCAATCCTTACAATCCAAAATCCTTCGTAAAATCCTCAATGCTCCTTACTTTGTCACAAATAAAATCATCCATAATGACCTTAATGTTTCTTATGTTTCAGATCTGGCCCAATCCAGATACCTGTCCTTCCATAATAAACTTCATAACCATCCTAATCCTCTCGTTTCTAACCTTGCTTCCTCCATAATCTGCTAATGTAAAAATATCATTAGAGTGCTACCAATAGTTAGTTTCTCAACAGCTGTTTTCACCTCATTATATCCATATGTTCAAATTTATTGAATGCGTTCCTTTAATACAGTAGTAAATATCATTAAGAAATAAAAAAAAAACATTAATATAACATGACAATATTGTGTGAAGAACATTTACAAATTGGCATGAATAAATAACCATTCCGTTATAAAAAGTTTTTTTTGGGGGGGTTATTATTTTTTTTTTAATTTCTTTATTGAGTATTATAACAATCTGTCTCTTGGACATTGGTTATAGTGAGGTAGGATGACATTCACACTATATGTACAAACAAATAAAATAAATATAACAAAATAATAATCAAAAGTATATACAATAGATAATAAAATAAAATAACCTAAAAAATAAGAAAAAAAAACACATGCATACCTATATACAATCAGGCGAGGGAACTCCAGGAGAACCCTGAGCTACTCTCCCAACCGCGTCGCTGGTACTAAAGCCAGCGGAGATTGGTCGAGAGCAATAAGTGATAAAAAGTAATGACGATTATTTGATTGCCCGCAGAATATTTAATAGTATATATTTTCTGCTATAAAATATTATATACAAGATGGAATGGATCGCTTCAAGTTTAGCCTCAAGTTCAGTACTAGACTAAATGTTGCGATAAATAAACATCAACAAGAATAAGCTTCATTTATTTTCTGTATAACTTTTTAAAAAAAGGATAATGATATTGGAATCAAAATAAAAGTGACGAATGCATCGCGGAGTTAGTATAAAATCACCATACAAAGGCATCAACTATAGATATTGTTGTTGCTCACCTCTAGATCGCGCTGCACAGTTTCGCTGGATAATACGTACTTCCATCTGATCTATCTGCATTTTATATTTTTGCTGATAAGATCCATCGGCCATCTTGTGTTTGAGAATCATGAATAGAAATTATCTGATGCCCTTGATGCCCTAAGCAGCTGCACAAATATTTCTTCAAAGCGTTATCTAAGTTAAGTGACAGCGTATCTGTTCATGACCCCCAAATGCAATATATATATATATATATATATATATATATATATATATATATATATATATATATATATATATATATAATATATATATATATATATATATATATATATACAGGGTGTTTCAGAGTTAAGTAGCAAATTGCAAAAATAAACTAATGACCACGAAACAAGAAAACAAATTCCTCTGAAGGTATGTCCGCAAACGCTTTGTTTAGGAGATATTCACACCTATAAATTTTCGTTGTTATGAATTATTTACGTTATATGAAATAAATAAAACCTATTTATTTGTTCTAACTACTTTATTAATTAAATGTAAACATTAACATTCATATTAAATGTTGTTCAAAGTGAAGGTATGTCCGCAAACGCTTTGTTTAGGAGATGGATTAGATAGAATACTAATATGGCCTTTTATCCCTAACTGTATAAAAACTATTGGCAACATAAGGATTAATACTATTTGGAATTAGCATTGGGAACTCTCAATAACATTTATCAGTTTGTAAGAGGCTTTCGCAGAGTACTCATCATTATGCCTTCCATTTATACTAATGGTGAATATGCCGATATGGTGTTTGTATACGGTTTTTGCAATGCTAATGCTAATGCTGCCCGTCGTGAATATGCCAGGCGATTTCCGAATAGAAGATTACCAAACAAGTCTATCTTTAGCTCCACGTTTCAACGTCTTAGAGAAACTGGTACATTTGCTATAATACCACGTGCTGATGGTATTTTTGCCCCTTTACGAAATGAAGAAAGGAGTGCGACCATATTACAATATTTGAATGATATTGAATCTGGCATTGTACGATGAGCTGGAGTAGAATTAAGTTCAGTATGGATTAACTACACTATAGAGAACTCTCATTGCAGATGGACTTCAACCATATCATTATCAACGGATACAAAACTTATTAGCAAAAAATTTTACAAAAGATTTTCGAAATGAAGACATTTTTCGGATTGTTACTAAAATCAAGTTGAGTATAATCCACAATTTTCAGGATTCATTCTCTGAAAAGATGAAGCTACATTTACAAGAAGAGGTATCTTCAATTAGAAAAATAATCATCTCTGGTCGGAGGAAAATCCCCATGCAATTCGTGAGCATCATTTTCAGCACCAATTTCAGTGCAATGTGTAGTTGGGGAAATAGACAATATTTTAATAGGTCCCCATTTCTTGCCGCCACGACCCAATGCGGGAATATTTCTGGAATTTCTCGATATTATTTAGTTGAACATATTCCACTACAACTAAGAAGGGATATGTGGCTTCAATTAGATGATTGTCCTTCACATTAGGAGAGATTCACCACAACGGCTAAATGTTAATTATCCCAAGCAATGGATTGGCCTTGAAGGACCAGTGGCTTGGTCTGCACGCTCTACAGACCTGACACCACTGGATTTTTTTGTTTAGGATGACATTAAACAAAAAATCTATGCAAGTCCGGTCAATGACCTTAATTCCTTACGAAGAAGGACAATTGAATGTTGTGAAGCAATACTACATATACATTGTCGTTGTACCAATGCTGCCCTCGATTTCACGCGAAAAAAATCCATTGAATTAATCCCTAATTCAATTTTCTAAATATTGTATTATCATTTTTGGAATAAACCGACGATAGATGCCTAACTACTTAAAATGATATCGGATCCGAAACTACTGTAAATGTGTTCAAGGTTATAAATATGTTTGACCCATTAAATATTTATACTTTCACTTACCTATATATGTATTATGTTATATAGTTGCGATAGTGGGATAGAAAGTATTGCGATCGTGAAAATTTACGAATCTGAGTTTTCATCGGAAATAAACCTTTTGAAGTCCCCTGAGTCCAAATAACTGAGTCTCGCAAAATGTGAACAGTTTAGCCCAAAAACGAAAAGTCGTACCAAACTGATATTACGTATTTAAGATAGATATATGCTTTAGATATCACAGCAACTTTCTCCTGTAAATGGGCTTACCGGAAGTGCCACTTTATACCAATGGTTATACTCATTTTTACAATTTTCTCAAAGACGGCTCCAACGATTTTGATTAAAATGTCATGTATAATTAAGTGGTATTTAATATCATTGAGATCTTATTCCCATTGATGTCACTTTACTGGGTTAAAAGGCTTAAATGTTCAACATGTCTTCCTCTAAAGTACCTTTAGTTTGGTTTATTTTATATAATCAACCATCTCTCATATTTAAAAGTTACGGAAAAATGCTAAATATAACTTTTGAAAGAATTTGATGGTTGAATAATGAATAAAAAAGGGAAAATGTGTATTGAGGTCGGAAATGAATTTCCGGAAATACTAGTCAGAATTTACACGTATGATGTATCGTTGGAAAGTGGAAAATTTTAGAAAGAAAAAAAATCAAATATAGGGAGTCATAGAAAGTAATGGAGAGTGACGACAAAAGTACAAATAATAATTTTTGAAAACTAATATTATTTAACGGAAATCACATGTTTTCAAGGAAATTAATTGAATTATACTAACTAAATGTAATTTTTTTTTTAAGTTTGAAAACAAAAGTATTTAAAATCCACCTAATCAAGGCAATGTCATCGTTAAAAAAACTATTTCATTGAACTAGTGTGAAAAAATAAGTGAAATATAAAAATATTTCATGGATGTACAAAGTTATATGTTTATAAAATTAAATACAGTTATTGTAGTTTAATAATTATAAATCGGATATTATAATTAAATAACTAGGCATCAACGTCCGATTATTCTGAAAAATTTTCATATAATCTTTTAGAAAACTAAATTAATGAATAATTTGATGAAATTTCCCTTTGTGAAATCTAAACATTATCCGCTTAAAATTATTGAAAACACTGTTGATCTCTCTATGCAAGGCAATGGAAATCTCGCAATGTCTTTGCGGTAAACTTTACTATGTAAAATAACAGTTTAATAACTACACAAACAGTACCGAGGTTTTTATTGTCTACCGTTGATGTCTACTGCTCAACATTGCCAGAAAGTAATTTCTATTCAAAGTAGAAAGGTAAGTGAAAGTTGAAGAGAAGAATAGTTGGGGTGTTCAGTCAAAAAGGAAGGCATAAATAAATTATAATATTTATTTTTTACATATGCCGACGTTTCGACCTGAAGTTCAGGCCTTCATCAGGGCTAAGAAAATAACCAGATAACAAGGTATGAGAAACATAAGTAATGATGGTAAAAAAGATAATAAAAATAAAAAATAAAATAAAAAAATTATTAGAAAAATAAAATAGATAAATATAAAGTAAAATGAAATTGTTAGAATAATGACTAAGAACTAAGAGATAAATAATAAAAACTGTTACATAGTGTGGAATGATGAAGTAGGCATAATCAAAAAGGGGTGACAAAAGTGTTACAATGGGAATCTTAGAATAAAATGTAAAACATAAAAAAGAAATATAAAGTTATATAAGAAATGAAAATAAATAGTAAAATTAAAACATTGAGAATGGAGTAGTTAGATAGAAAATTGAGATATTGTAAAGTCTATCAAGATGTACAGACAATGTATAACATAATAAAGAGTTAAAAACAGAGAAAAGGAATGAAAGGAAGGAGGGAAGAAATTGAGAAAGCTGAAATAAAAAAGAAATAAAAGAAGTACTACCTGTCTCCTTAAGTGTCGAAGGGAGAATAAAAGTCGTTACAAGGGAGGGGGAGAGAGAAGAGATGTGTAGGTGGCGTCATCTCTAACGGTTATCCGACGAAGTTTGAACTAAAGCGCTGGAAGCCTAAATAGACACGAGAGATATATTATATTATATATATATATATATATATATATATATATATATATATATATAATATATATATATATATATATATATATACACACACACACATACACGTATATATATATATATATATATATATATATATATATATATATATATATAAGGAAGTTGTCCGCAAAAAGGAAAGGAATACAACTATGGATGTTTTAATAAATTCAGAATTTGGGAGTAGGCTAAAGAAAAGTTCTGTTTGTCAGATTTTAGATTCACTGTCTTTGGTTGAAGCTGGATGTGGAGGGTTTCAGAAATGAGTCGTTTGTCATGGTTGAGAACTGTGGCAAGGATGGATGTTTTGTCGAAATCAAATGAATGATTGAGGGAGAGAGAATGTTTTGATAATTTAGAAGCGGTAAAATTACGAGAGGATACAGAATATTTATGTTGGGTTATGCGGTCTTTTAGGAGATTTTTGGTTTCACCAATATAGGATGAAAAACAATTGGGGGTAGAACATGGAATACAGTAAACGATATGAGAGCAGTGTGAGAGAGGAACCGGATCTTTTAGGGATGTGTATAATTTAGAGAGAGTGTTGTGAGATTTGAATGCAAGTCGTAAGTTAGGGTTAGTAGATCGTAAAACTTTGTTGATGTTGTCTAAAAGGTTAGGGATATAAGGTAGAGATCTGTATATAGGGGCTGAAATGGGTTGTGGAGAATTAGTGGAAGTTGAGATTAAGGAAGAGCGATTATTGTGGTCTGTTACAAGTTTGTTAATGACATGGAGAGGAAAATTATTGTTTGACAGGATCTGTTTTATGCGTTTGGTATTGGTAACATGAAATTGGGGATCAGAGAGAGAGAGACTGCGGTGGATGAGATTTTTCGCAACGTTAATTTTTTGGTGGTAGGGATGTTTAGAATGGAAATTTAGGAGTCTGCCAGTGTAAGTTTAGTTCAGACGGATAACCGTTAGAGATGGCGCCACCTACACATCTCTTCTCTCTCCCCCTCCCTTGTAACGACTTTTATTCTCCCTTCGACACTTAAGGATACAGGTAGTACTTCTTTTATTTCTTTCTTATTTCAGCTTTCTCAATTTCTTCCCTCCTTCCTTTCATTCCTTTTCTCTGTTTTT